GTTTTGTCTTCGAAATTCCACAAGCGATGGTAGCTTCCAGGGAAAGGGGGAACGTCTTCCATTGAGGTCCACCAGACTCCGATGTCGTATCCACCGCTGTGGGAAAACACGAAGGCGATGGAGGAAGCGACGATGTTCGGGATGTGTGGCAGTTCCAAACTGCACAAGCTTAGCAAAGGTCGTCGCGGCAAGGGATTTCAGTTTTGGGTCCCCCTACTGCCCAAGACATAAAAAGTCGATGTAGCGGAGAGCGCCACGACAAAATCGAAGCAGCCGAACTAGTACGTGACTGTCAGGCTTCAGGATCTGATCTGGCGGCGGCAGGAATTGCGCGTTGTAGCTCATGGTTGGGGGACCCTCGTGACGTAGTTGATGGCGTTGAGCGAAGTGGGGGCAAACGCGGCAGTCAAAACAGCGACCCTAGATTTGTTTTGGAGCCACGATGCTGCCAAATATTGCATCGCTAGCCGCGGGCCCTAGCCACATGCCAAGATACAGCAGCGCTGGTTCTACCTTGAACGATTCCCACGCCCCCAAGTGCATCCTCAGGAACTGCTGAATACCGGACTCGTTCTGAATCGAAGAAGGCGCCAGCCAACGGCACAATAATGCACTTCGATGGGCTTGAACTTTAAATCCGCCGGCCTCTCCGCGACTGCCATCACTCCGGCAAGGAAACAAAGACAGACCTTGTCAAACAGCACTCCGCCGACGTCGTCAGCACAGGCTCTGCAAATTCCATGCTCAATCACCTCAAGGCTCAGTATGAGGAGGAGGAGGAGGAGGAGGAGGAGGAGGAGGAGGAAGAGGAGGAGGAGGAAGAGGAGGAGGAGGAGCTGGAGGAACCTGACGAGGAGGACGAGACGGGAAAGAGACGGAAAAAGGGAGGAAACCCTCGACACGAAGAGTGTGCCCTTCTTCTCCTCCTCCTTTTCCGTCCCTTTTTCCTCCTCCTCCTCCTCCTTCTCCTGCTGCCGGGCCATCGAACCCCAGGACGGCCTCCGCGCACTTGTCCTCCTTTTGTATGCCCTTTTCTTCATCCACCCCTCTTCTTCATAGAGAGCCCTTCCCTGTCGCACCACCAGACGTGTCGGTGTGGCGGGCGGGGATTCTCGCTTGAGATCCCTCATCCTTGATGATCCTGAAAGTGTGAAATTTGCAACAGGTGTGCGGAAGGAAAAAGGGACAGTTTTTTTATAACGGGGTTCTCGCCTTAGGGCCGCGCGCATTCGCCTCAAGCGTGGCTCTTTTCAAGTTGGGGCTATCGCATTTGATCCGCGCGCATTCGTCTTGAAAGCTTGCGGCCATGTCAGAGCTGAAGGTGATGATTTTCCAAATGAGTCGCTTGCCCCAGCGATGTGTGCATTCGTCTGGGAAGTTGGTCGCAGCGGCAGCCATGGAGGGTGGTGTTGATTGTCGACGGCTTTCAAAGTAGAGCTCCTGCTTTCGCGCCGCGCGCATTCGTTTAAACACTTACAGCAATTACAAGAATGGAGGGTGCTTCCTTTCCAAACAATGATGGGGAGGAGGTGGGGCGTCTCAAAAGTGAGCCTTCGCCTTTAGTTCCGCGCACGTTCTTCTTATACGTTTGCAGCAGCTAAAAGGATGCATCACTGCTGTATGTATTAAGCAGGGGTTTTCGCTTGATACCTCCCCAAATCTAATGCCAGGAAGGTTGGCCATACAATGGAACAACTGCGCGGATGAGGACGATTCCTTTCCAAACTGGGGCTCTCGCTTTCGAATCCCCTCCGGGCAAATGGCCACCACACGTGCAAACTTGGACAACCGTTGTACGGATGTGAATACATTATCAAAACGGTGCCCTCGTCCAGATGGAAGATCCATGTATGCTCGTCTTTCCATAGGGTAATTCTTGCGGTGCACGGTTGAAAAGGATGCTCGCAGGGCCTCTCTGAAGAGGGAACTTTGTACGGGAGGGTATATAGCATAATCGTTGATGCATCCCGGTTTACCTTCATCCTTGGTCGTCCTCCTCCTCCTGGACCTCCTCTTCCACCACGTCCTCGAGCTCCTCCTCCGCATCCTCCTCCTCGTGGACCTCCTCCTCATCCTCCTCCTCGTCTTCCTTTTCCTCTTCCTCTTCCTCCTCCTCCTCCTCCGCTTCCTCTTCCTCCTCCTCTTCCTCCTCCTCCTCCTCCTCCTCCTCCCCCTCCTCTGGGGTCCACAGGCCTCACGAAGGGTCTCCCGCGCGGACTCCTCCCCCTTTTCTTGCGCAGGCCGCAAGGGCACCAGACCCTCCCCTTCCCCCTGCCCCTGCCCTCTCGGGGCCTCCACCCATTCCCAGGTGAGGTCCTCGAGGGCTATTGCGTTTGGTTCAACTGGCGCTCGGGCCTAAGCACATGGCCGTCGACTCGTGCGCCCCAGGGTAACGTAAACGGCCCCGATCAACGGGGAGTGCGCCGCCCGCCGACCCCTCTCTCTCTGGCCTGATGGCGTTCGTCTCCGCGGACGTTTTCCAATCAGCGCCCACGGCCACAAACGGTCGGTCGAAGACGGAACGTCGACGCCTTATCACAGAGATGGAATAAGAGAACGGTGGGGGAAGAGCGGCGGCAGTGCAGCAGCACAAGCCACGTACTCCTGCCTGCACCAGAAGGCACACATGGCTGGCAACGAGAGGCCGGGCCACACGAACTGAAACAGCGGGGCACTGCATTCGGCGCAAGAGATGCTAGCCTGCGGATATCATAAAATTGAGCAGCGGTGGAAAAAGGGTCCTTCCCCCATGCTGCTCAGATACAATGTTGAATGACGAGACCATACTAGCGTGCACTCATCGCGGGGAACTGCCTTTCAATGTGGGCGAACACTCAGAACCCTCGGGCTGTGGTCCCTTCCCCTGTGACTCCTTCCATATGAGAACTTTTAAATAATGGTCATCACGAGTCGGGGCGGTCGTCGGTATTGTGGGGCTGGTATGTGTCGGACTGCTGGCCATGACACATATGGTGGCCCTGCAATGGTCGCTGCTACGTGGCCTGGTCTCAGAAGGCCCTTCTAACGCTCAGCGTTCGTCAGGTCTATCAAACCCTCCAAAGGTAATGCAACGAATGTTGCATGCACCTGCGTAAGGCTTCTATGAATCGCACGCTTCATGTGCCACTGGATGTCGACCTCCCTGCGAACGCCCGGAAAATGTGCAGCGCATACATGTGGGCCCTGGGTCGCAGAGGTTTGGGCGACCAGGCAGGGGTAGCGATTGGCGCATGAGGAGCGGGAAGAGGTAGCAGGGAACCCAACATCCTCTTTCGCCTGCTTTCTAGAAGTCAGCGTTCTCGGAGCAATGGGTGTCCTATAACATTGTTCGGGGGTTCTCTAGCGCCAACCTTATGTGCCTTTTTGGCACGATTTAGGGATGATGCTTTTCGGGCTGCTTCCCTTGCCTGACACACTTCTTCAAGCGTGGATCTGGCAAAAGAACTCTGCCATGCTAGCAAGCAAACCGGCCAATTCCCGAGATGGGACCCGGTTAACAACTGCCTGTAAACAACGTTAATCTGAAAAGGAAAAGCCTGTAACGAGCTCTGCATCGGAATTGCCTTTCCAATGATGCTCGCTAACATGAATCTTAAGTCACCGCGCTGTGTTGGCGATATGACCGCACTCATAACACACATACTCCTCAGATGGTGTGTCACAATATGGGTCTAAAGGTGTACCTCTAATTTCATGCGCACGAGGTGTTCCCGCATTTCTCCCTTGAGCTGATCGTCCACGAATGCTCAAGTCTTGCGGACGGCTGCGTTCACCGCGGTTCGGTACGCCTTCGGATTACTGCAGAACTGCGGGAGCCAGTCGAACACTGCCCCATCACCTGGAATACTGCTTGGTGCTGTGTAGAAATTCGACCGTTCAAGGTGCGACTGTACCATTTTCCCCCAACTGGCCTGTGCTGCCCAGGCTAAGTCTGCCATCGCCATTGCGAAAGGCAGTGCGTGCACCATCAACCGACCGAGATAGTTCAAGCGAACAATAATCATCACACTCCAGGTGGGGGGGCTTCCTGCTCTAAGCCACACAGCCGCCTCCTAGATGCGATCATCGGAATTCTTTGAGGAAGCCAAATGGAAAACCGAATGGTCAAGGCCAATGTAGGCCAAGTTGAGCATCTCCGCGAGGAGCGCGTTTAACCTGGGCCAGGAGGCGGCTGCATGCAAAATGCAAAAGCACATCAACTGCAAGTGCATCGGCATCGACTGGCCTTATCCGAGACAGTGGTCCTGCGTCCGAGGGTCTATCTGATTGGTTTTAGCTGCACCCTTAGCTTTAGAAATCCGCGTTGCAATCTCCAAATTCATTGTCCCATCTGCAACAGACCAAGCACGCAAACGGTTGTACTCATGAGCCACTGGAAAGGTGAAGCTGCAAATGGCGGAAGTGGCATGGGTAAGCTTTACCCCTGGTAGCGCGGCCGGAACCCTGCGTGCACCCTTAAGCCTCCAGGCGATCAGGAGTTTCGCCTTTAGCATGTTCGGTAACAGCCCATGAATAGCAGCAGCCACGAACATGGCCTCTGCCAACAACAAGGCCATAATGTACACCCTGCCCATATCTTCCGCAACAATTACGGACGTCACATCATTAACAATGAATCTTGACTCACTCCCCATCACCCTGGGAAAAAAACGTCGGCTCAGGTTGAGGGACCCCGCTCCCCCTCCTCCTCCTCCTCCTCATTTTCCTCCTCCTCCTCCTTCTCCTCGTCCTCCCTCTCCCACTCCTCCTCTTCACGCTCCCTTTCCTCCCCCTCCTCCTCCCTCTCCGCCTCCTCCTCCTCCTTCTCCTCCTCCTCCTCACCATCCTCCTCCTCATTCTCCTCCTCCTCCTCCTCCTCCTCCTCCTCCTCCTCGTCCCTCTCACCCTCACCTCCGCCCCCTCCCAATAGACTGTTTCCTCCTCCTCCTCCTCCTCCTCTTCCTCCACATCCTTGGCACTGAGTCCCCCCTCCACCCGCGCACTCCGCCCCCGCGCAGCTCCTCCCGGAAGTGCTCCGCAAAGTCGTGCGAAAGCAACGCGCCCGCCAGAGCCAGGGTCACTACCTCAGCCCGGCCCCCAAGCCCCCCGCCTGTGCCCAACCCGAGGAAGAGGAGAGAGGCGGGAGGATGGAGAGGAGGAGGAGGAGGAGGAGGAGGAGGAGGAGGAGGAGGAGGAGGAGGAGGAGGAGGAGGAGAGGAGGAGGGGGAGGAGGAGGAGGAGGAGGAGGAGGAGGAGGAGAAGGAGGAGGAGGATGAGGAGGAGGACGACGAGGAGGAGGAGGAGGAGGAGGAGGGGAGCAGGAGAGATGTAAACCCAGGACGTATCAACGATGTTGCGAGGATTTATTTTCATTGCGGGGCGTGGCCCATGAGAGGACAACCGTCTGAGATCCCTCCATCGCGCCAAAGCAACATTCCTGCGACTCCAACGCCGCGGAACAACGAGACTGTCGCGTCCTGACAATCTTTAATCGTGCGAAAACACCATTCCTGGGACTTCAGCCATACTTCAACCATTGATGTAAAACTGTAGGACGAATGTGCGCGGCGCTGAGGCGAAAACTACATTTTTCAAAGGAAGCCCCTCCATCCGTGACGCAACTGCAAACTATTAAAAGCCAGTGTGCGCGGCGCTGAGGCGAAAACCATGCTTCAAAGTGTTGCAAATTTTTAAGACGAATGTGCGCGGCGCTATGGCGACAACCACATTTTGAAAACGACCCATCCCGCCATCCTTGAAGCGGCTGCAAGCTTGAAAGGCGAACGTGCGCGGCACAAAGGCGAGAGCCATATCTTCAAATCGAGCCGCCCTCCATCCTTGAAGCGGCTGCAAGCTTTGAAGGCGAGTGTGCGCGGCGCTGAAGCGAGAACCGCATTTTGCAAACGACCCGCCCTTCGTCCGTGAAGCTGTTGCAAAAGCCAAGCCCCAAGATCATCAGTGGTGAGGAAATCTCAGGCGAAACGCCTGGCTCGCCCTACCGGAACGACTGGGGGTGGGACAGGGGGGATTCACTTGCAAGGAAAATGGAAGAGGAGGATGGGGGAATAGGAAGAAAAGAGGGGGAGGAAAAAGGAGGAGGAGGAGAAGGAGGAGGAGGAGGAGGAGGAGGAGAGAGAGAGGAGGGACAAGCTAGGTGCGCTCGCGCCATATCTGACATACTACCCCTACCGACCATTATTTTCCATTGCGCTGATTGTTTCTCTATCCGACAGCGCGTGTCATCACAGAACTGGAACTCCAAACAGGACCCCTTATCGTGTTATGAACAATCGGAAGAGGGGAACTGCGTACATTGGAGGAGGAGGTGGTGGATGAGCAGGATGGTAACAAACAGACAGACAGAGGGCCAAACGCCCGGGGGCGGGTCGGCAAACGCTACTGCAGCGCGGTCACGTGTCGCCTCCAAGCACATTCGTCTTGGACAAGGTCTTCCCATCGATAATGTTCACCCGAAAGCTGTCGCGCATGCGGTAAAATAAGCTCGGCCCATGCCAATATGGGTCGCCTAACCTTCCTGACGACATGGTCCGTGATTGAGGTAAAGCTACCAGGGGATAAACATGCAACCTCGAAGCGGATCTCCAGGCTCTGCTCGTGCAGCTTTTCCCAATCGAAGAGACTGTTGCTTGAGGAGGGTCTTTGCCTGGATGCTCGCGTCCGACACTGCGAAGACATGGGGTGCTTGACCCCGCATAAGGCTCGCAGTATCCAGGAAGGCGCCCCATCCAAGCGACGCCCCTCCTGGAGGAAGGAGGGCGAAGACGAAGCGCAGCAGCAGCAGCAAGAGCTGGAGCAGAAGGAACGGGAGGAGCAGGAGGACCCGCTATGGCGGAGGGGAAAGCGAGCGGGGGGGGGGCGACAACGATGAGGAAGGACTCCGTTCCAGAAGCGTGGCCCGCGCTTGGGCGAGAGCGCCATTCTCAACGACGGGAGCGAAACGTCGGTCCTGAAATGAGGCCTACGCAGCAGCGGGAACACTTTTCTGGACGGACCGAAAACGTCGGATTGGAAAACACATGTTGGCCACCGTGGGCTCCAAACGGTGTGTTGTTGCGCTATGCGGTGTAAGCTATGTGGTGAACTCTATGTTGTGAAAAGCAATGTGGTGTGAGCTATGGAAATGAAAACTATGCGGTGAAAGCTATGTGGCGTCAGCAATGCCGTGTAAATGATGCGGTGTGGGCTGGAGGTGAACGCTATGGGGTGTAAGCTATGTGATGTAAGCTATGCTGGGTTAGCTATGCGGTGTCAACTATGTGGTGTAATGTTGTGTCAGCTATGTGGTGAACGCTATGTCGTGGAAGCTCCGAGCGCGGGACGCCCACGAGACGCCCACGAGGCGGCACGGGCAGCAACGTGGCGAAACCCCGCAAGACCCCCCCGACACACGAGGCGGCCACGAGCTGGCCACAAGCGGCAGCGTGGCGAAACCTCGCCGGATCCACCCAGCGCGCGAGGTCACGAGGCGGCCACGGGCGGCCACGTGGCGAAGCCTCGCCGGTTTCATCCCACTCTTTAGCGGCATGCATGCGAGCCCCCAAGTGTAAACACCGTCTGCGGAACTCGAAAAACCAGCGCGGACGAATACGCGGAGGGGGGCGCGCCACTCTAAGAATCATTTCGGGGGAGCAATGGAGAGTAGTGTTCATACTGTGCGATCGTGGAGGAGGAGGAATGGAGAGGATCAGGAGGGAGAGTGGGAGGGATGAGGGAGGAGAAGTAGGAGGACCAGAGTAAGTCAAAGATCCACCAACGATGCTACAATGCACCCTCCCGCCCGAGGCCCCTCCTCACAGGTCACTGCACGTATTCCATCGCGCTGCAGGAAACGCTCCCCCCCCCTCCCCCTTGACAGACGAAATCCCCGTGGGCTTGCCATTCGGTCGAGGCCCCGTCTTGTAGAGGGTCCAACTTTCACGCATCTAGATATCAGAAGATAGGGTCAGGCAGCTGAAAGGAATATCCAGGGACCGCTCCGTATCGAAAAATATGTGCCTTCATCTGTGTACGCGTTAGAGCATTGCGCGAGTTTGCATTTCCGCACAAGCGTGCAACGCGTCAAACCTAAGCGTTGCACCATTCCACGAACTTGCACTTCACGTCATGAGAAATGAAATCTAAAGCGAGAACTCCGTTCTAAAATGATAAGCCCTCCATCCGTGTAAATGCTGGTTTTGTCTACGACGATCGTGTGCGGCGCGAAAGCGAGAGCCGCATTTTGGAAACGACCTATTGGACGTTGTGAAGACGAGTGTGCGCGGCGCTACCGCGGCAACCGAATTTTGGGAACGACGGGTCCTCCACCTTTGCAATTTCTGGACAATCTCAAGACAGTCTGTTGTAAAGAATACGAAAGTTCGGCCTCAATTCTGGAGGCCTATTTCCCCTTCATGATGGTTTTCTCTTTCCAAAATTGGGGTTTGACATCTGGAATGAAAGCTTCCGATCACATCTCGCGGATGATAATGATGATGATGATGCTGATGATGATGATGATGCTGATGATGATGATGATGATGACGATGACGATGATGATGATGGTGATGATGATGATGATGATGATGATGATGATGATGATGATGATGATGATGATGATGATGGTGATGCTGATGTTGTTGATGATGCAGATGCTGATGCTGCTGATGCAGATGCTGCTGCTGCTGATGATCCTGCTGATGATGCTGATGTTGATGATGATGGCGATGGTGATGATGATGCGGAAGGGCGGGAGAAAGAGGAGGAGGCAAAACGGAGGAAGGAGGACGGGGGAGCAGAAATGAGCCCTCGTTATCGTCGTCGTCGTCGCTGTCGTGGTTGTCGCCGTCCGGCAGAATTTGACATGTTTGGGGCTTCTTGGGCCTATTGGCACCTCTGGAGACCTCGTCGTCGTCGTCGTCGTCGCCGTCGTCGTCAGAAGCATCCGAGCGAAGTTTTTAAGCCTCATTGGGCCCTCGGAGACCCCGTGGGACCTCTGGACATCTCGTCGTCGAAGTCGTCGTCGTCGTCGTCGTCGTTCGATCGGGGACTTCATCGATTATTGCATTTATTCTTCTCAATAGTCCTGCACAGGCCCCCGGAACCTCCAGAGACCTCCTACTGTTGGTTCCTCCTCCTCCTCCTCTTCCTTCTTCTCCTCCTCCTTCTCCTCCTGCTCCTGCTGCTCCTCCTTCTCCTCCTCCTTTTCATCCTCCTCCTCCTGCTCCTCCTCCTCCTACTCTTCCTCTTCCTCCTCCTTCACTTCCTCCTCCTCGTCCTTCTCCTCTCTGCCGCCTTCCGAGCGCATTCCGCCAACGGTTGCAGCCGCTACGGGCTTTCCCAGGCAGACTGGGGGAACACGTCAGAGACCTCGCGCATGTTTTGAGAGCTGGCGCCAGAGACCCGCATGCCACACGGGCTGCGGTGTCGGAGCCGCCAGTTTTCGGAGTCATGGGTGGGTCCTCCGCCAGTCTGTCAGCGACTCAGCGAGCCCTGCAGCCTGCCCCAGGCAGGACATGCAAGTTGGTCGCTGGACGCCTGTCGGGATATGATTGGCATTGCTCTCCCAGCACCCGCAGCTCCCGCTGCCACTTCTCGCCGTCTCGCACGTGCTTGCTTCGAGGCAAGACCAAAGGGAAGAAAAAGAAAGGGAGGCAGAGGGTGTCTCAACAAGGGGTCAGGTCAGGATGCTGACTGGGGGGCGGGCCAGCACGCTGTGCCCACTTCCTTGTTGCTCCTGGAAAAACTCGATGACAACGAGCAGCGCAGAAGGGATACCGAGAACCAATGATGCAAGCGGGAGGTTGGTAACGCAATGCGGAAATTTGAATGGCTCCTGGAACAAACAACATGTGAGCATCCAGCGGGGTTCCGCAACCCCACGTTGGGATACACCTACGACCCCCCAACTTTGGGGCCTCAGCTGTGCCTGGATCTGTGAGGGGCGCCCGAGGAACAACTGGATGAGCGGCCTCATGAACACAGAGGATCACAAACCTCCAAATTGAAGGCTCGACCTCTATTCTGAGAGCATTTTCTCCTTCATCTGAGAAGTTGTATTATCTAAGGTGGAGGTTCGCATCCAAAATTGAAATGTTCGATTCTCTGGGAATCCCGAGCCGCTTACGAACCAAACCGCTGCCAATTATCCGCTTCGTTTCGCGCCAAGCTCTTCGATCGCTTCCGCCAAAGACCTGGCGGTGCCCAAGCTCCGCGAATATGTGCCCGCTTCCGTTTGAGCGGTGGCCCCAAGAGGCCCCCATGAGGTCCCCAAGAAACCCCAAGACATACACCCAAGAGGCTCACCAGCCGCCAAACTGCCTCCAGAAGCACCCGACAGCCATGCGAAGAGATCCCAACAAGCATCTATGAGAATTCTGACCCACTACCCAGGCACGGTGGCGGGATGGGCCGCAGGCAACTAGATCCGCCGCCCCCTGCTTGCAGGGGTGCACGGCGTGCTGGACGAGCTGTCAAGTTTTGGTTTTGGTTCTTTTTCCAAAAGAACTCCCCAATGGGCTCCGGCAGAACCCGCTGGCCACCCGGAAGGTGCTCAACGACCGGAAAAAATCCTCCAACAAACGGCCGTTTCGCTCGGGACATCCTCAACAAATCGCGAAGATGGCCCAAGATGGCCTCCAAGTCCGCCCGAGATGGTCCAAGACGGCCTCCAAAACGGCCCAAGAGAGTCCAAGACGGCCCAAGACGGCCCAAGAGGCCCCCCAGAGGCCTCCCAGACGGCCCAAGAGGCCTCCAAGAGGTCCTCCAGGAGAGTCCGAAGAGGCCAAAATCATTGATTTTTCCTTGGTTTTTGAAGGATTCTGGCATTTGCGCCTTTTCGGCTCTCCGACGGCTCGAGACGGCCCAAGAAGCCCCCAAGATCGCCCAAGAGGCCCCCAAGAGAGCCCCATGATGGCCCAAGTGGCCTCCAAGATGGCCCCTAGAGGGCCCCAAGAGGGCCCAAGAGGCCTCCAACACGCCCAAGATGGCCTCCCAGACGCCCAAGATGGCCTCCAAGACGGCCCTGGAGCATTCCAAGCGGGCCCCAAGTCGGCCCATAGAGGCCCCCCAAACGGCTTCCGACGGCTTCAGACGTGCCAGGAACCCACCAAGATGGCCGAAGTTGGCTCGAAGCTGGCCCGAGACGGCCCAAAAAGCCCCAAAGATCGCCCAAAGCTTGCCCAAGAGGCCTCCAAGACGGCCAAGATGACCTTCAAGATGCCCACGTGTTCCCCGAAGGCTTTCCAAACCGATTCGGGGAACACGTGGTCCGATAGCTTGGCAGGTCTGGCCTCAACGTTCGGCCACATAGGCGCTTCCAAAAAGGCAGGGGGCGGCGGTGATTCGCCGTAGGCGTCTTCGATCCGCCGCCCCCTGTCGATTCATCGCAAGGGTGCCTGGCGTGCTGGACCTCTCGGTTTTGGTTTTGTTTTTTTTCCACAAGAACTCCCCCTGGCGCTTCGGCCCGTCCCGCCGGGGTCCCGGGAGGCCCTTCCAGGAGCGCAAAGTCCAGAAACAATCCTCCAAGACGGCTCCAGATGGCGTCCAAGATGGCCAAGATGGCCTCCAAGATGGTCCAAGATGGCCTCCAAGTCCGCCCAAGATGGTCCAAGACGGCCTCCAAGACGGCCCAAGAGAGTCCCAGACTGCCCAAGACGGCCCAAGAGGCCCCCCAGAGGCTTCCAAGACGGCCCAAGAGGCCTCCAAGAGGTCCTCCAGGAGGGCCCGAAGAGGCCAGAATCTTCGACTTCCCTTAGGTTTTTGAAGGATTTGGGGATTTGCTTCTTCTCGGCATTCCGACGGCTCAAGCCGGCCCAAGAGGCCCCCAAGATCGCCCAAGAGGCACCCAAGAGCCCCATGACGGCCCAAGTGGCTTCCAAGACGGCCCAAGAGGCCTATACAACACGCCCAAGATGGCCTCCAAGACGCCCAAGATGGCCTCCAAGACGGCCCCGAAGCGCTCCAAGAGGGCCCCAAGTCGGCCCAGAAAGGCCCCAAGACGGCTCCCGACGGCGTCAGACGTGCTAGGAACCCACCAAGATTGCCAAAGTTGGTTCAAAGCTGGCCCAAGACGGCCCAAGAGGCTCCCAAGAAGGCCTCCAGGAAGGCCAGAAGAGGCCAAAAACATTGATTTTTCCAAAGTATTTGACGGATTTTGACATTTGCTTCTTTTCGGCCTTCCGACGGCCCGAGACGGCCCAAGAGCCCCCAAAGATCGCCGAAAGATCGCCCAAGAGGCCTCCAAGATGGCCCCAGAACGGCCCAAGAGGCCCCAAGACGGCACAGGAGGCCTTTAAGACGCCCAAGATGGCCTCCAAGACGGCCCTGGAGCATTCCAAGAGGGCCCCAAGTCGGCCCATAGAGGCCCCCCAAACGGCTTCCGACGGCGTCAGACGGACCAGGAGCCCACCAAGACGGCCGAACATGGCCCTAAGATGGCCCAAGACGGCCCAAGAGGCCTCCAAGAGGGCCTCCAGGAAGGCCCGAAAAGGCCAAAATCATTGATTTGCCATGGGTTTTTGAAGGATTGTGGCATTTGCTTTTTTTCTGCCTTCCGACGGCCCGAGACGGCCCAAGTGCCCACAAAGATCGCCCAAGAGGCCCAAGACACGGCCCCAAGAGGCCCCCAAGACGGCCCAAGAGGTCTCCAAGACGCTCAAGATAGCCTCCAAGACGGCCCAAGAGCCCTCCAAGACGTCCTCCAAGAAGGCCCGAAAGGGTCAGAATGGCCTCCAGACGGCCAAGATGACCTTCAAGATGCCCACGTGTTCCCCGAAAGCTTTCCAAACCGATTCGGGGAACACATGGTCCGATAGCTTGGAAGGCCTCTGGCCACAACCTTCGGCCACGTAGGCGCTTCCAAAATAGCAGGGGGCGGCGGTGATTCGCCGTAGGCGTCTTCGATAACCCAAGAGGGGCCTGAAATCGCCCGAGCGCCCCCAGAGAGCCTCCGGAGGGCACCCACAGAATTCCAAGCAAGCACTCACCAGTATCATATCAGGAATACTTGTTCTGACGCTGTTGCGGGCGGTTTCGTGAGCCCTCATGGGGCCCTCTTAAAAAATTCAGAGCCTCTTCGTGCCCTTTGGGGCCCCTCTTCGAGCCTCTTGGGACTCTCAGCGGCGGGAGAGAGCTCCGAGAAGCTCCCGGATGGTCGGGATGGCGCTGCATTGCCGCCAAGACGATCCAAGATGCACTCAAAGACGGCGAATATCACCACGTCTGACCTGAGATGGCTCCAAGATGCCTCCAAGACGGTCCTGGATGGCGGCAAGAGGCCGCCATGAAACCTGAGGATGCTCCCAGAGCCCCGAAGAGGCTCCCAAGAGGTCGCATCTTCCTCCTCCTCCTCCTCCTTGTCCTCCTCGTCCTCGTCCTCGTCCTCGTCCTCGTCCTCGTCCTCCTCCTGCTCCTCCTCCTGCTCCTCCCCCTCCTCTTCCGCCTATTCCTCCCTCTCGTGATTACCCCCCTCTTCTTCCCCCAGCGGCTGCGAGAGCTCATAGGCAGATAGCTTGGCGAAGCTGTGCATCTCGTCATACGCCTTGGGAACCTCAAAGGGCTTCAGGGGAACTCTTCGGGGCGTCTGGTCCCAACCTTCTTTTTCCAGGGCCGGCGGCACTGGCCGGAAGGGCATCACAATAGTTAATTTCAACTTGCAGTAACATGCACATAAAGACTGAACCAGCAGAAGTTTGGATATCTCCGTAGGCACAAGAGGTTGCAGTGCTTGCGCGTTTATTCCCAAGCCCCCGCCGCGCATATGGAGAAGAAGCCAGCGATGAACTTTCCAACAGGTGTGACCGGTATTACGTCGCCATACCCTGGGCGCCCGCATGGCACTGTCATGCTGAGTGAAGTAGCTCCATGCGACTGCTAATTCTTTCCCCAAGTCTTGGCACGGGGGAAGAGGCTGCTGGAACAAAGGGGTCCTGACCCTGGGGCCTTCCCCGCGCCAGTCTTCTCATCCTGGCCCCGGGATGAGCCCCGCGAGGCAGAAAGCGGCCTCGAACCTCAGGGCCCTCTTCTTTCAGGCCCCCGTCTACATTACACGTCGGTCGGAAGAAGTAGGTAACAGAACGATATATGAAGTCGGATAACGTAGATTTGGTCCTGGCCCTCCTGGACAATAACAGAACACTGCAAAAGTGCATCGGCTCTTGAAGTAGGAAGGCGCTTGAAGTAGATTGGGATATGCGAGCCCAGAATTAACTGCTTTCAACGACCGACGTGGCGACGAGCCTCGGTCGCTGACGCCAACGTCACTCTGTGGGAAGCCCTGGCTGGCGGCACAGTCGGAGTGTCGCCGGGAGGGACCTCACGAAGCCTGCAAAGAGCGTCGAGGGTCAAAGCTCGAGGAGGGGCCCCGCCCCTTCGGGGCTCTTCCTCTCTGTGGTCAGAATAGGCTTCAACCGAGTCGCTCTGCCCACAAGCTGGAACAACTCTCACCTTCGATGAAGAACACCCAGAATGTAAACAAGAACTTGCAGAACCGTGAAGGAATGATGCGGGGGACCAGCTCAGGGGGGGACAGATCGACCAGGAATCGGCGATGCATCGCCGATGCATCGGCGGTAGGCCCCCGATAGCGACTCCGCACTGGGCGGGGTGGGGGCCACTATCGGCGATGACTGGCCGATTGTGGATGCATCCACACTGAGCTTCCGCCCCCTGGCCATGCCCCTGAAATGGAGGTCGGACCTTCGCTTTGGAGGTATCCGATCCTCTGGGCAGGGCAGGCTCTGCCCGTTGGGCCCCAGTTCCAGCAGTGCGGGAGGGCCAGCGGGAGTGCTGATCCTCGGCAGCGGCTCCGCGGGAGCTCCCTTGCTCGGCTCGGGGATGCCCCAGAGTATCGAAGACCTCCAACATGAATGTTCGACCTCCATTCTGGAGGCTCTTTGCTCCTCCATTCTTGAATCTTCTGCTTTCTGCAGAAAGCTGAAGTCCGACATCCGAAACGAAGCTTCTCGATGCTCTGAGCTGCTCCTCGAGAACCTCCCCCTAAGGACGGCGCAGTGCAACGCAAAGCGTTGCACGCAAATGCCAAGCAGTTCAATGCACATATCGCAGATCAGCTCGAAACTGCACAACGCAAAGCACGCGAGGCCACGTAAAGCAATTCACTGCACTGTGAAGCAAGGCAGCGCAGTGCAAATCAAGGCACGGTGAAACAGTGAGGCAACAGTGACATGTGTCAACTCGTTCCTGCATTGAACAGGTTTTCTGCCGAAATGTTTGCGTGCGGTCGACCGAATCTCGACTGCAGAATGCGAACCGCCAAACTTGCGAGATAGCATCATCCTCTTTCTACTCGTGCTCATGTGCGTGCCATCAGCATCATCACCATCATCATCATCTTCATCATCATCACCATCACCACCACCACCATCATCATCATCATCAGCCGCGTTATGAATCTCATTATCATATTTCTCTTCCTAATCTTTCTCGTCCGCGTCCTCCTCTTCGTCCTCTACCCCTCCTCGTCCTTCACGTCTTTAGGTAAACTGACGCCCCTTCCCCCGTAGAGTCATAGAATTGGCAGCAAATTCAAGGCTGCGCGCATCCAATTCCCATTCCGTCCTGAGGGTTACTTCGCGAGGCTTCCACGCACAAATCATGGATCAAGACGGCAGAACAATCGGATTCACGTCACTCTCGCGCGTAAATACTTGGATCCTCTTGGATCCGTCGTTTTCCATGCAACGGGAAAGAATACCAGCATGAGGAAGCAGAGATATTGAATCCAAATGACTCTCGGATTTACCGGGATCCAATTCGATCTGTTCTTCGTGCAGGAAACAACGAATTTTCGGCCTGAGAGTGTAACATTGACTGCTCTAGGCCTCAACATGTCTGTAATCAGACCTGCAAATTATCGTCAACCTTTTCTGTCATCAAGAGAGCGTTCCCCAGTAAAGTCGTGTTGGGATCCTTCAACGGCAGGCTGGCTTATCAAAATAACAGCGAAGACTCCCACCAGCCCTCTGGGCACAGCTGGTTTGACGCGCCACCTCGACAACCCCCCCTTCTTCCCCTTCGAGGGGAGGTTACCTCTCTCCCTACCCCCTTCTCTGGGTCTGGACGGGGGGAGGGGAGGGAGGAGCGAGGGATAGGAGTGTCCAAGATGTTTCATTATGCCACTAAGCATCTCACAATTTGTTCCAGGATGGTAACGCGAACCCAAACTGGACCAGCATGGCGACCGAGATGCCATCTCAGACGCCACGCGATGCCTCCAACACGGCTCAAAAAGACTCGGATGCCTCCCAATGATACCACCACGAGGCCAAACTCATTCCGACATCTTTCCAGTGATTCTCTTCAGATAGGTTTCAGGCCTCAAGATGGCCCCAAGATCGCAACATATTCCCAAGAGTGGCCTACGTGGACTCCAAGACGGCCCCGACTGCGGCCATGAACGTCCCAAGAGCGTCTCAAGAAAGTCCCAAGAAACGATTTGTCGTGCTCCAGGAGGGGGATGGGTTGGCCTCTGCTTGGGGTCGCCCGTTGTTATCGATGTTGTCCAGGATGGCTGCAAAAGACCCCGCAATGGCACCCGATAGAGCCCCAGGATGCCTCCTCAAACACCCCAATGTAGCTGCAGAGGTGCCGCAATAACAGATGGCCTCTATAGCTGCCTCCTGCTCTCTTCGCGCCTCTCCGCGGTCAGGGCGAATTCAAGAGTCGACCAACCAAGGCCTTCGCGGCGTCCCTACAGGAGGCCGTCTAGGTTGCAGTACGATGAGGCTGCCTCTCACCCTTGTCTCACGGCGTGGTCCTATGTGCCTCTTCTGGTCCTCCCCCTGCTCTCCCTCTTCCTCCTTCTCCGTCTCCTCCTGCTCATCCGTCTCCTCCGCTTCCACGTTATCGTCCTCCTCCCGTGCGTCACCCCGCTTGGGTCTCCCTCTTCGACCTACAGTTGCGCCTGTCCCTTTTTTCCAGCGGCACGTCATCGGATCAGCTCGAGCTCAGTGTTTCGAACATGCCTGTATGCCTAGAGACGCCCTTCTGTGGTTGACTCGAGGATGTCTCCGAGGAGGCCTTCGCGTCGACCCTACAAGAAGCCCTCCAGCGTCTACACGAGACAGATAAGTGTAAAGGTGATACAGTGGGCCCGTATCACAAAGATGCGCGATAAGGATGCAAGGGCCTTGGACGCCCATGTCCTCATGTCGAAGCTTCTCGAGCGGGGCGCGGCCAACAGAAGTGGCGAAGGATGGACCGAGGAGGCAAGGATACAAAGGTACCCTTGGGAAGTTTGCCCATCCTTACTATGCAGGTTGACTGTACGGCGGCTGTCGCTCCAGCTCGTTTGTCGGTGTCACTGCACGCTCCCCTTACTCATCCGGTCCGGGCTACTCTTCTGATATTCTTTTTTGGATGGGCTGGTGGGGGCACGCAGAGCGTCTAGAGCTGGGAAGCTTACCTCACCAAAGCATAAAGTAATAGTTCAATGAGTCCTGCATGCTCGTGCACTGGGGGAGACATAATCACAATGAAAAGCATCAAGAGAGGAGCACCGCGCACATTGATTTTGAAAGCGGTAGCTTGCCTACTGTTGTGATTGTCGATGCCGAAAACCAGCACGCTGCAGGAATGGAGTCGAAGCCGTCGCACTTGATGCCCAGCTCCTTGGCAGTATCGCGCAACAGACTAGGAACGAGTGCATGTGCATGCTCGACGCGCTTCTTGAACATGAAAACACAACAACTAAACAGATGTTATGCCTCTGGGTCGGCAGACGTTCAACCGCGGAGCAGCCGATGACCATGAGCTTTGTCTTGTGGGCGCGTCAAGCGTTGTCCAACACTTCTACGGTGCAAGAAACATATTTTCGAGGCTCTCTTGATGAAGCATTATCCCAACATCGGCCCGATTTTTCACTCCCTGGGACCAGAATTTCAAGGCTTCTCGGCGAGCAAGACATCGGATCAGCGCACCCGAGCTGGACACCCACAATCCACTCGGCGCCAGACCCCATGATTGAGCTTGGTAGGTGTGGGATCGAACGCAGTTCCCCATGCCATGCTCACGAACAGTGTACGTCTGACTCCCAAGAGCGCCCAATCAGAATATGGCACAGGGTCTGGCTGACACCAGACAACATGACATAGAAACGGGCGCTCCTCACATAGGTCGTTCTCGACGAGGTACAACAGGCTGGCGGACAAGAGCATCTGGAACAATATAACCCCCTGCCAATTTCACCGTCAACTGGTCACCAACTCGCTGCGCGTACCAACAAACAAGACGCACGACGGAGTAAGGCATTGATTGTAAATATGGTGGAGAGAGGGGCGTCGCGGAAGTATACGGGACATCGGAGATTGGCAAGGAGCTGGCGAAGACATGCAATGGATGTCCCAAGAATGCACAAGTCCTTTACTGCGAAAACTGGCGTAGAAGGAATGTCATGGAGCAGAACCGTACACACTCTACCCAGAGGACCCCGAAGCTCCTGAAATCTGCAGAATGGAAGATACAACGCCAGAATGGATGAAGAGTCTAAAAGAGAGGTCGCCCCTCAATGTTTGAGGTGTCGGACCATTCGGGCGTGTACACACGTGCGCTTTGCCCATGTGGCACGCCCCCGCCTCGTCCTTACACCCGCCTCCTCCCTTTCATCTCAGACTAACTTAGCTATCCATGCTCAGACTCGCACGGACTCGCTCTCGCTTGGCTATCCATGCTCAGACTCGCACGGACTTGCCCACACTCAGACTCATACTCAGATTCACGCATTCGCAGGCTCACTGACACTCAGACCCACCTGTTCTCACATTCCATTAGTATTCAAGCTCAAGCACCCGCAGGCTCATTCACACTCGACCCACTCACCCTCCGACTCACTCATACCTAGACCCACTCATACTCAGATCCATCGCATGGCCAGCCCAACTCATACCCACATTCACTTATGTGCAGACTTGCTCATAATCAGATCCACTCGTACTCAAGGCCGACTCAACATGGAGGCGACAGAAGGTACGATACTGGCCCGTTCGCATTCCGATTGTGCAACTCTCTCCAGCGAGACGCCTGTTTTTGGCCCCAGTGGACGAATCTCTTTTCAAAGCCCTATGACCACCGCAATGCAGCGAATATGGAATTTGAGTCATCCAATGGGGAGCCGTTACGGGGCATGACACTGGCTCCTTGGCACCCACATTGTGCATTGTGGGGACCTCCTTGGCAGCACACTTGTTGTGGCCAAGTAGACGAACCTTTTTCAGAGCCCTGTGATCACCGCGATGCGGCAGGCATGGAATTTGAGCATTTGAATCACACACTGGCGAGCTGCCAGGGAAAATGACACTGGCCGGTCGCACTCAGACTTTGAAGACCTCTCAGGCGAACCGCTTATAGCCGCATGGTCACCAAGATGCAGCAAGCATGACAGTTGAATCACCTAGTGGCGAGTCGTCGGGAGGTATGGCACTGGCCCGATCGCACTCAGATTGTGAGCAACTCTCAGGCGAAACACCTGTTTTGGCCCAGCAGAGAAGTCTCATTCAGAGCCTCGTGATCACCGCGATATGGCATGGCAGGCGTGACATTTGAGCCACCCAATGAGGAGCCGCCACGGGGTATGGCTGGCCCATTCGGGGTCAGATTGTGGGGACTTCTCAGGCGCAGTGCTTGCCTTGACCCAGTGGACGAGTATCTTTTCAGAGCCCCACGATCGACGGGATGTACCAGGCATGGCATTTGGGCCTTCCAATGGGGAGCCGCCAGGGAATGCAGCACAAGCCCGTTCGCGCCCAATGTGTGGGGACTTCTCAGGAGCCCAAACTACTCTGGCGGCGGTGTAATGTCAGGATCCCCTTGCAAATGTCCAGGCTTCCGCAGACCCCAATCTAGTCACATTCAAGCTCACTCATATCCAGAGTTGCTCTGTTTCAGCCGGACATGCTCAGGCTCACTCGCACCCAAATCCATTCACATCCAGTCGCTCGTACGCAGCCTCACTCAAACTCAGCCGCTTGTGCTCTGATTCGCTTACACTCGTACACTCAGATATAACTAGAACCACGCGCGCGCTTCGCGCGCGCTTAGGTTCTGTCGAGTCACAGACCCAGGAATCGTTGTGAGAAGAAATTGGTGACGCGAAGCGTCGTGGGGGCGTCCTTGGACGTCTGGGGTCTCCTGGGGCCTCTTGAGGGGCCTCCTGGGGGCCTCCTGGCGGCCTCTTGGGGCGGAAGGCTCGAGCTTGCGGTTCGTGGTCCCCCTCTGGGCCCCCTCTTGGGCCCGTCTTGGGGCCCTCTTGGGCCATCTTGGGCGCCTCTTGGGCCGTCTTGGGGCCCTCTTGGGCTGTCCTGGGGGCTTCTTGGGCCGTCTTGGGGCGGTCTTGGGCGCCTCGTGGGCCGTCCTGTAACGTCGGAAAGCCCAAAAAGCAACTTTGTTGAAAAATGTACGTTTTACGAGGGGAATGAGCCAATTTTTGCGTCTAGGGGCCCTCTTGGGACGCATGTTGGAAGCTTCTTGGGGCCTCTTGGGGGCGTCCTTGGACGTCTGGAGGCCATCTTCAGCATCTCGGAACCCTCTTGGAGGCCTCTTGGAAGTTTCTTGGGCCGTCTTGGGCGCTCCTGGGGCCGTCAGGCCTCCGGCAAGCCCCGACGAGCCTCCGGGCCCCCCGGGGCGCACATTTGTGGTCGGGGTCCGGGCCCTCTTGGAAGCTTCTTGGGCCGTCTTGGGGCGGTCTTGGGCGCCTCTTGGGCCGTCCTGTAACGTCGGAAAGCCCAAAAAGCAACTTTGTTGAAAAATGTACGTTTTACGAAGGGAATGGGCCAACTTTTGCGTCTAGGGGCCCTCTTGGGACGCATGTTGGAGGCTTCTTGGGGCGTCTTGGGGGCGTCCTTGGACGTCTGGGGTCTCCTGGGGCCTCTTGAGGGGCCTCCTGGGGGCCTCCTGGCGGCCTCTTGGGGCGGAAGGCTCGAGCTTGCGGTTCGTGGTCCCCCTCTGGGCCCCCTCTTGGGCCCGTCTTGGGGCCCTCTTGGGCCATCTTGGGCGCCTCTTGGGCCGTCTTGGGGCCCTCTTGGGCTGTCCTGGGGCCCTCTTGGAAGCTTCTTGGGCCGTCTTGGGGCGGTCTTGGGCGCCTCTTGGGCCGTCCTGTAACGTCGGAAAGCCCAAAAGACAACTTTGTTGAAAATGTACGTTTTACGAAGGGAATGGGCCAATTTTTGCGTCGAGGGGCCCTCTTGGGACGCATGTTGGAGGCTTCTTGGGGCCTCTTGGGGGCGTCCTTGGACGTCTGGGGTCTCCTGGGGCCTCTTGAGGGGCCTCCTGGGGGCCTCCTGGCGGCCTCTTGGGGCGGAAGGCTCGAGCTTGCGGTTCGTGGTCCCCCTCTGGGCCCCCTCTTGGGCCCGTCTTGGGGCCCTCTTGGGCCATCTTGGGCGCCTCTTGGGCCGTCTTGGGGCCCTCTTGGGCTGTCCTGGGGCCCTCTGGAAGCTTCTTGGGCCGTCTTGGGGCGGTCTTGGGCGCCTCTTGGGCCGTCCTGTAACGTCGGAAAGCCCAAAAGGCGACTTTGTTGAAAATGTACGTTTTACGAAGGGAATGGGCCAATTTTTGCGTCTAGGGGCCCTCTTGGGACGCATGTTGGAGGCTTCTTGGGGCTTTGGGGGCGTCCTTGGACGTCTGGGGTCTCCTGGGGCCTCTTGAGGGGCCTCCTGGGGGCCTCCTGGCGGCCTCTTGGGGCGGAAGGCTCGAGCTTGCGGTTCGTGGTCCCCCTCTGGGCCCCCTCTTGGGCCCGTCTTGGGGCCCTCTTGGGCCATCTTGGGCGCCTCTTGGGCCGTCTTGGGGCCCTCTTGGGCTGTCCTGGGGGCTTCTTGGGCCGTCTTGGGGCGGTCTTGGGCGCCTCGTGGGCCGTCCTGTAACGTCGGAAAGCCCAAAAAGCAACTTTGTTGAAAAATGTACGTTTTACGAAGGGAATGGGCCAATTTTTGCGTCTAGGGGCCCTCTTGGGACGCATGTTGGAGGCTTCTTGGGGCCTCTTGGGGGCGTCCTTGGACGTCTGGAGGCCATCTTCAGCATCTCGGAGCCCTCTTGGAGGCCTCTTGGAAGTTTCTTGGGCCGTCTTGGGCGCTCCTGGGGCCGTCTTGTCTGACCGGGGAGGCCTCCGGCAAGCCCCGACGAGCCTCCGGGCCCCCCGGGGTGCACATTTGTGGTCGAGGTCCCGGCCCCGGGCCCCCGGACCCGGTGCGCCGTTATATGTATAAGACGCTCTCGAGAATTTGTGCGCACATGACGCGTGAATCTGCATCTGCGTCCGCCCGCACCGCCCGCGCGCGCTGGCCGAGCGCGGACGAACGGCGTGCAGGACTGATCCCCACTGGCGTGGCCTTGGCCCCACTGGCCGATTTACCGCCCTAGATGGGGAGATCTGATGTTCCCTGGGGTACCATGGCCCAATGGGGATGGGGATCGGCGAAACGATACTGCAGGACGAGCCGGCGGACCGCAGCCGAGGAGGGGAGGGCGGCGGCGCAGTAGAAAAACACAACGTAAACGCGAACTTCCGGAAGTCCGCGCGGACTTCTTGGACCGGCACTGGAACCCCTCCCTGGCGCGCACAGCGCGCCATAGGCGGCGCTGGAGACGCCGCCAAGGAAGTCCGGTGCCGATTCAGGAGATCCGCGCGGAGCTCCGACAGTTTTCGTTTATGCACCATGCTTTTTTCTCCGTCGACGCAGGCAAGGGGAGCAGCGAGCTTCTCAAGGCCCCCAGGGAGCCCCTGGGAGGTGCAACTGCGGCAGGACGACGTCGCCTCTGTGATTACAACGCCCGCGCCGCGCGCGTCACTTTTCCTTTGCCCCTCGCCCAGAAGGGAAGGGGCCATGGGGGGAGCGAATCCCAGGCCGCAGGGGCCTATCCTCAGGATCAGCTCTGCATCGTGTGCCCCTTTTTTGACGGGCTCCCTCTGGGCCCGTGGAGGGCCCCGGGGGCTGGGAAGCGGCGAGAACCTTCCAGGACCCCTTTCCTCCAATGCCCGTCTCCTTCATGTTCGATTGTTCCTCTCTGGCCCTCAGGCGATCCTGCAGTGCACCGGAAAGTCCTGCAGACGTCGAGAGGGAGGCCACCCTGAGCGGTCGAGCAACCTGTTCCAGGCTCACTTCAAGCAAACTTGTGGCCGCTGTTTCTTGGCAGTTGCTGAAAAGGAGCTATTATCATTGTTGGCGGTGGACGTCGCAAGAAGCATGCACCCACGTTCCCCTTTTGCCTGCACGACGTAAACACATCCTGGGGGACGCAGGGACGCGCAGCAAGACCCCCCACCCTCCAGGATGACCATGATGCTGGAGCGCCACACCTGGCAAACGGAAGGGGAGGTCGGGGAGGAGGAGGAGGAGGAACAAAAAAGGACAACTGTAAAGTCAAGACGCAACAACGATGTTGCACTACACCCTCCGTCCAAAGCCCCTCTTCATAAGCCCCTTCAAGAATTCATTTCAACTGCGGGGAGTGGGCTATA